TGCATGCACCGAGCTCGGCGCATCATACAAACTGCATTGTATTTCAATACCTATTTGAATGCATGTATCGAAGTGTCGCATTCATATGCCATCATAGATAGCTGAGCCTACTTAGTTACATTTTGCATGTGTTGCATTAGGCATTGTTGACATAGCTAGGATCATACATGATTACTAACTAGCTTCTGTTTTGGCTCGGAGTACACTATGAGTGTTTATGCTTTAGCATCCTTGCATGTGTGTAAGTGACTATCATGATAGCATGCTTGCCATGAGGCTATTTGCTTAAGTGATTAACTGCATGAATGCCTGTGGATGAAGGCTTCATTGCTTGAATTGGGACAATTCATTAAAATGTGCGTTTTAAGCCCACTTAAAGTAGCAAAATCATGTTGTTTTAAGCTCACTTGAGGGTGGCAAATCCGCATTTTAGCCTATTTGAGGGTAGCAACTTTAAACCATTTTCGAAAAACAAACATGAAATGTTTTGTTCCAAATTGAGTGATTTAGTCTATACTTGTATGCTGTGCGCATCACATAGTAAGTTAGCCAATAAACCGGAATAAGAATGCTTGTGTTTTCAAAAACAACATATCATGTTAGTAGAGGCCGATCTTTGATCAGGCGAGTGGGGGTGCTAATTTCAGGACCTTCCCCTCTCGTACCCAAGTTCCCATGCCGAGAAAACTTTGGTGATGACGAACACGTGGCCTTTGGCACGAGTCAGGATTTCCTAAATTTTCCAAAATAAAATATTTAGGTGGCGACTCTGAAATCTGGCAAAGCAGTCCATGTTTGGCCTTTTTGCATCAAAATTATTTTTTTCAAAACCAAATTGCTGGATTTGGACTCTTTGGTGATTTATCAGTCTTACATTGCACTTTGTGAGATTAGATTCAGAACCGTGACAGGAGTCCGAATGTAGTAGCTAGAACTACAATTCGCACCCTCTCCGAAAGGGGGGTGCGCGGAGCGAGTTCGGGCGGTCTACAGTGTGACCCAACACTATACCCTCACGAACCATAAAATGGCTCTTTTCCCAACTCAAGATTAGGTTTGTTTCAGTACATCGTTCCAACACTCTAGTCAAGTTCCTAAGGCATTCCTCAAAAGATGGTCCAAACACTGAAAAATCATCCACGAAAACCTCTAAGAATTTCTCCACCATATCGGAGAAAATGGCCATTATACACCGTTGAAAAGTTGCCAATGCATTACATAGCCCAAAGGGCATGTGCCTGTAAGCAAAAGTGCCAAAAGGGCATGTGAATGTGGTCTTTTCCTGGTCAACGAGGTATACCGGGACTTGATTATACCCTGAATAACCATCAAGAAAACAATAGAAACCCTGCCCCACTAACTGCTCTAGGATTTGGTCAATAAAAGGTAAGGGAAAACGATCCTTCCTAGTCGAGGAATTCAGTCTCTTATAATCAATGCACACTCACCACCCAATAGTGATTCGTGTGGGGACTAACTCTCCTCCCTCATTCTCAACAATAGTGATGCTCGATTTATTGGGCACCACTTGTGTGGAACTCACCCACTTGCTATTCGAGATGGGGTATATAATACCCGCATCTAACAATTTCAATACCTCCTTTATCACCACCTCTTTCATATTAGGATTAAGTCTCCGTTTTATTTCACGAGAAGGTTTGGTGTCCTCTTCTAGGTGTATATAATGCATGCACACGAAGGGATCTATCCCTTTCAAATCAGCCACTGACCACCCTATAGCATTCCGATGTGCCACAAGAACACTCATTAACTGACTCTCCTGCTCAGCAGTCAAGTCAGATGCAATGATGACTGGTAAAGTATCCTGGGGCCCTAAAAATGCATACTTGAGTGTAGCCGGGAGTGGCTTCAACTCAAGTGTAGGTGGTGTGAACAAAGATGGTATGGCGGGCTCTCTCGACAGAGGAGGAAGTGACTCAAACCGAGCTTTCCACGGAGGAAAATCCGGTGTAGAAGAAGCATTAAGCAAGACATTCACCTCCTCAACCGACCCGTCAATATCAAAATTTTCAAACCCAAAATGAGCTAGACAAGTCTCTAGAGGATCCTCTACAAGAATGGAGGGTAAAGCTTCCTCTACAATCCCATCCACAACATCCACAAATAAGCACTCCTCTCTCTCATGGTATTGTTGGGATGCTTGGAAAACATTAAGTTTCACTTGCATGTTACCAAATGAAACTTCCATAACCCCGGTACGACAATTAATGCATGCATTGGCCCTAGCCAAGAAAGGTCGACCTAAGATCACCGGGATTTGTTTCCTAGAACTGTCTACTGGTTCCATATCTAACACCAAAAAGTCAACAGGAAAATAAAACTATCAACCTTTACTAGCACATCCTCAATCATGCCACGTGGCACTTTGAGGGACCGGTCAGCCAACTAGAGAGTAACAATAGTGGGCTTTAACTCGCCAAGCCCAAATTCTTCATACACGACAACAAATTGACACTAGCCCAAGTCATGAGCAAGGCTCGCACAAATAACACATGTCTCGCGAAATTGAGGCTGATCTTGCTGGGTAGGGGCATGTTCCGCAGCTAATAATTGGTCCATTGTGGGACAGTGCCTCTACTTGTTGGGCTAACTCTAGGTTTTGCCCGACCTCATAAATGCCCCCTCTTTTCAGGGCTCCAACTACTGGTTGCCGGACTTGCCGGGCTGCGAAGGCATGGTGAAGGGAATTATCACTTAGGTTCTCAAACAATTGTCATGCATCGGCATCATTTTTGGATATGAATGTCCCACCACAGGATGAATCCACCATTTGGTTGTGTGGCTCAGTTAAGCTATAATAAAATGTTTGAACAAGTTGCCAATCAGACACTTGGTGGTGGGAACACTATTGGAGAAGGTCTCGAAGTCTTTCCCATATCTCATGGAATTGCTCGCCATCAATTTGAGCAAAATTGGTGATGGCTTACCTAAGTTGGTTGGTCTTACCTATGGGAAAGTACTTCTCCAAAAAACATTGCTGTAATTGGTCCCAAGTTGTGATTGAATTGGTAGGTAAGGAGTTCAACCAGTGTTTGGCTTTGTCCTTTAATGAGAATGGAAACAATCGCAACATTAAGGCCTCCTTTGTGAAATTCTGGATCCTCACTGTAGAGCAAATTTTCAGAAATTCATTCAAATGTTTATAAGGATCATCATGAGCTAGTCCATGGAATGATGGGAGCATTTGTATGGTGTTGGACTTAATCTCATAATGAGCAGCAGTGGTGTCGAGTAATTGAATGCATGATGGTGATGTATATGCAATGGGTGTGAAATAATCCTTAAGGGTTCGGTTGGGCCCGTTCGGGACATTTGGATTTTCCATCTCTAATGGCTCAATGTTTGAATATGAATATTCAAGCCTAGGAACACAGGCATAAGCTCTATGTCTCCTAAGAGTCTTTTCTAGTTCAAGGTCCAAACTCCACAATTCAAGGCGACAAGAGCTGCGCCCGTGCATACACTACTCACACACACAAAAAAAAAAAAGTTCCGACTCTGCGCACTAAGTTACGAAAGCAAAATACCAAAGGGAGAAATACTCACAGCGGTTTAACGAAAACGCTTTATTTGTCTTGCGAGTGCTTGATGTGTAGACATTGTCTCCAACCTCTAATTGAGCGTTGTCTTTCTTTTTAGCACTTTGGTGCTTTGCTTGCGAGTGTTTGCTTCTGTTTAAGTACTTTAGTGCTGTAGCTTTTTTTATTTTTAAACCTTGGTTGGCTCCGCTTGCACTTCGGTGATAGTTCCACTTTCAAACGCTCTGCACACTTAGCAACACGAAAGCATAAAATCCTAAATTAAAAATAAAAATAACAATGTAACTTTAAATTAACTAATTTTGCCAGAAGTCCCCGGCAATGGTGCCAAAATTTTGATAGGTCATTACACACACCAAAATTAAACACAAAACTACACCAAATTCTTTTAGAATAATGGCAAGTCTAGGTATCAATCCATGGAGACAATTGTGAAATTAAACTAATTTAATTGTTAAATTCCTAAGTTAATTTTGATGAAAAGATTGATTGTTTATAACCTAATTTGATAACAAATAAGTTAAACTAAGTAATTAAATTATCAATTATAAATAAAATTGGATTTACTGATTTAGGGAAAAACCTAGGGCAAAGAGTCCACCACTAGTCACGTAAATAGGGTTTTTAATTGAAATCAAAATTATGTTATGGTTCGAACGGAATAATGCTTCGCAACTACAAGTTCAAAGCATTTAACAAAAAAATCATCACGCTCAATGTACGAGCACGAACCATCTCAAGTAGTACGAATCGTTCACTCTAAACTAGGGTAGTGACACGACTCGTCCCTCATAGTATGGTTCGTCTCATACATTGAATGTGAAAGAATAGAAAACTCTTGTATGGAAAACATTCAACAATCACAGAAAGTTGAATACTTGAAGAAATAATGGAAAGTGTATATATAAAACTTCTAAAACACCATACAATTGTTCAAACCTTTACATAATTGAAAATCAGAAAGAAAAACTAATTACATGGCTAGGGTTTCATCAAAACCTAGAAAAGAAGACTAGCCACTCATGGAGGAGTGGGAAGAGGAAGAAGACCCCATGGAAGTGTCCTTCAAGCTTTTTGGAGAAAATCACCTCTTGAAACCCTAGCCTCTCTTCCCTTGAAAGCCTAGCCTCTCTTTGATGCAAAAACAATTTTAGAACCCTAATCTAGCCTTTTTCTTGCCTATTTATACTTTTGATGTCTTGCCAACAGGTTTAAAACATCGGGCACGTTTTTCCAGAAAAGTCAATGCACATGCGGGAATCTGTTTTCTCTCCAAATTCTGTCTTTTTGCCCATTTTATGCTCCGACTATGTACAACCTGATTGACATTAACACACATAAAGTATACAGTTTGACAAGCAAGTAAAGTTAAGAGATCCTAATTAACGGTCTCAATGTTGTACAATTCGGCCTTAATCAGCTTCCTATCAGATTATTGTGTTATAAATTAAGCCTAATCAAACCAGAAAGAAGCGTTAGTTCTTCAGGGATCATTCCAATCAGATTATTCCTTGAAAGGTCCATGTTAACGGCACACAATAGTGCAATGGTGTATTCAAATTCATTTCCTTTTAGGACTTGCTTTATGCTTTCAAACAACCATCCTCCTAAATTATATTGTATACCATTTTCATTCAAAATCTTGCCATTGAGATTGCCAAAACAATGAGGGATGGTTCCTTTTAAATTATTATCTACAAGGTCCATGATTTGGAGTTGAGGCAGTTGGCATAACTGCGATGGAATACTGCCAGTGAACATATTCTTATGCAATCTCAAAATGGCCAAGTCTTTCAATTCTCCAATCCATCTAGGTATGTTTCCATTGAATCCATTCTCACCAAGATCCAAATTTGCTAAACTTCTGCAATTTCTCAAAGCGGAAGGAAACTCTCCATGATGACTATTGTTGTTCAAATGTAACCCTCTGAGAGTAGTCAAATGTCCAATAGAGTTTGGAATAACCCCTGAAAGCTTACTGGATGAAAATTTCAAAATGTATAGGTTGGAGAGTTCCCCCAAACAATGAGGAAGATTTCCAAATAACATATTTTTGGAAAGATCGAGCAATACCAAATTTAGAATTTTGCAGAATGACTTTGGAATAGAACTATTTATCAAATTACCAACCATATACAAAGATGACAAAGTGACCATATCTCCAATATTTTGAGGAAGAGGTCCTGAAATGAAGTTATTGGAGAGATCAACTATGAATAAAGTGGAAGGAAGGTTTGGAATTGGTTCACTGATATGGTTGTTAGGGAGACCCAATACCAAGAGATTCATGTCATGAAGCCATTCAGGTAGGGTTCCTGATATGCTCGTATTGAAAATATCCAAATAAAAAAAGTTTCTTTTGTGTTTGAAGCCATTAAGGAAATTGAGTCCCCAATTTGCAAGGCTAGAGTGAAATGGTTGCCAATTGAAAAGGAAGTATCCATTCAGATCTCAACTTCAATGTCAAGAATTTAGAACCTATCTTCAATTCTTCTAACATTGAGAGGTTGGCAAAATGAGCTTCAGAGACTACACCTTCTAGGGAATTAGAAGAAAGATATAAGATCTTGAGGTTTGATAGTTGTCCAATAGAAATAGGAATGGTCTCATTTAACTGATTGGAAGAAAGATCTAAAACTCCCAAGGTTGACAAGTTCCCTAGTGATGGTGGGATATCCCCAGTCAACAGATTACCACCAAGGAATAAATTCTACAAGTATGACAATCTTCCCAAACATGCTGGAATCGAACCATTAAATGAGTTACCTGAAAGATCAAGATCTTTCAGATGCTTAAGTTGTCCCAGCCAATTCGATAAATGACTGGTGAATCCATCACCACTTAAAATCAATGTCTCTAAATCATACGTGGTGCATCTAGATAAATTTTTGTCAAGTATGGACGTCTCCTGTCCGTGGATTTGGTTTTGACTCATATCAAATGATTTCAAGCTACAGTGATTCGACAAGAGCCTCAGAAACCCACCAGTGTGGTTAAATTGATTGGAGCCAAGATTGAGATGTTCAAGGCTCTTAAGGTTTTCGAGATACAGAGGAATAGAAGAATTAAAATAATTGAACGAAAGATCAAGGAATCTTAAAGAAGTCATGTTACTGAGGCGACTCAGAAATTCACCTTCAAATGAATTACGACCAAGGTCTAGGTACTGAACATTAGAAACTGTAGAGTTCACATACATTTGAGATAAATGACTATTATCAAGTCCACAATATGACAAATGCAACTCTAGTAAAGAAGGAAGCATGTTTAGTACTGACATGTATAAGCCCATAAAGGCCATGAATCACCTATGGCCCATCACTTGAAGCCCAGTGCATAACCCAGCTGACGAGGTCCAGGACAGTTGGAGTCCAACATAGCATAAAGAGCCAATGACATTCAGACACACGGCAAGAGAAGGACGAACCACATCAGCAGACAAAGATCTGCAAAGTTATTGCCACTGCATATCACTATTAATGCAGGCCATCACAGCATTTATTACGACAACACCTCTCCACCGGAACAGGACCCCCTTACCCTGAGCAAGGTAAGCTACAGCATAGGCTTTCGGCAAGGAGAGCAGGTCGGAAGGGACAGCGAAATGATTGCCAAAGGATATAAGCGAACGTTGTAAACAAGAAAAAGGTTAAGCTTTCTATCTCTAATTTTCTCCCATATACTCTACTTCTCTTCCTAACTTGATCGTCGGAGGGTTCACTGGGGGACTACCCCGTTCCCCGTTGAACTTGTTTGCAGGGTACCCGGTGGGCTCGATCATTTGGGCTTGGGCTTGAGGAGCTTGGACCAGTTCGCTCCATTCACCGGGGATAAACTGTATCAACAAGTACCTTGTGCAAATTGTGCGTTGCACTACGATTCACTCTATTCATGTCAAGGTATTGCAATGTTGAAAGACGAGACACCCATGTGAGATCATCTATAATTAATGTGTGATCATAGTCGAAGCTATACTTAAGATCAAGAACACGCAAGCTAGAAAGATTTTCGAGATGATGGAGAACCATTCCACTGAATCCTGTATCAAACAAATTTAGATACCTCAACTTTGTCATCGCTCCAAAGAACTCGGGGATCGGGCTACCTTGAAATTTGCTACCACTTAAGGCCAAGTGATTCAGATATTTCAATTCAAGCAAACAAGAGTCTACTTTATTGGTCGCTAACTGGGCAGAGGAGTTGATCATCATGTTATAAGTGTCAACATGGAGATCAAGCTTGACAACAAGGCCAGTAATTCCATCACATTGTACTCCTGTCCAGTTGCAACAATCTTGGCCATGCCAAGATGACAATTGAAGTGAGCCATCTGTGAGACTATGTTTGGACTTCAGAAGAGCTAGTCTCTCATCTTCTACACAACTGTTGGTTGAAGCACTGCACAAACAGGGCTTAGCTGTTTCAAAACAAAGCAGCACAACTAAAAGGAGCCCAATAGTGGAGAATTTCCTCATATTGAGAATTTCAGTGGCCCTAAATACTACTATATGAAGTTATGCGTAGCTTGCACAATCGAAAATAGGAGACAATTAAAGTCCAATCTAGACTATCTTTTATCTATGGTAAGTCCTTCACAAGTAAATATCAAGTATGACAGAGTCTAGAGTATCTTTTAACTATGGTAAGTCCTATCCAAGTAAATATCAAGTATGACGGGAATATGACGTCATCGTATCGCCAATCGATGAAAGTTCAGACACTGTAGTAATAGAATCACATGCAGGGTTTGGTTAGAAATTTGAGAAGAGATTTGAAAAGAGAAGAAAAAAAGTATATGAAATTATGTGAAATGTAAGTATATTTTATTCATATTTTATCTATTTTTTTCATTCTATTTTCAAATCATTTCCTCAATCCTCCACCCAAATACAGTTTTAAACAAGGGTATTCACTTCAATATGCTAATTTTTTGTTCTTCTTTCATATTTATAATTGTGCTTCTTTAAAATTCAAATTAAATTTTAAAAAACGTGAAAGGCTTGTGGATTCATATCATGGGTCCCATTTCGATAATTTTAATTGTTTATTTTATAAGGTTTTTAGGCCCCTTTTGTTTTCAGAGGTAGAATGGAGGGGATTCATAGTGAGGGGATTAATAGTGAGGGGGTTGATAGTGAGGGGATTAAATAAAATTGTGTTTGTTTTGATGATAGTTGTTAGTGTAGGAATTGTTAAATTATTTTTATATAAAATAATAAAACAAATAAAAAAATTAAACATTAATATTTATAAAAAAATTCCCAATATATAAAAAATAAAAAAATAAAAAAAATTCTAATCCCCTCTGTAGACACCCCATTTTTGACTACCTTTAAGACTTGGACGTGACTGATGGTTTACTTGGTGGAGAAAGGTGTGCAGGGGAAAGGTGCAATTTCTTCGGCAAAGAGAGAGTCAAATCTCAACTTCATACCCCTGTTCTGGACCAAAACAATCTTGATCAAAAGATTTTAGTCTTAAAACCCTCTCTCTCAAAAACGTTTTTGAAATAAAGTTCCTACGTTGTTCTGACGCTCGCATTTTGTTAAAAGTTGCGCTTTTCGGTAAACCGAGCAAGGACAAAGTGGAAATGAATGAAGGAGAGATGAAATCTTTGAAAAATCTTTCAAAATACCTTACTTAGGGGTTTGAAGTTGAAGAAAAGAGGAGAAGAGGGAAGAAGTCCAGTTGGGGAAGAAAATAGGCATGAATCGTTAAGAGAGAATTGAACAGCCCTCGCCGAATCGGGCCTATTCATTCACATACTTGGAATCAAGCTATGAGGCCACAACTGTTGGAAATATTACTCCCGGGGCCTCATTTTTCACTCAAGAATCTATTAAATCCAATTCCAGATAGGGGAGATATGGTTGATTGAAGTAGGGCATCACTCCGGCTGGGACCGAATCTGCGCGGCTTCACAGAAACGGGCATACCATTTTCCACAGGAAGAATTTTAATGCAAGGTTTGTGCCATTGGAAAGATAACTTCCGGGGCTTCAATTTGGACACTTTAATGGCCACCATTGGACTTCCCAATCACCCACCGGCCATATTTCTTCCCTGCAGCCCTTTTTTTTTTCCTGAAAAGTAGCAGGCCGGCCAGAAATGCCAGAAAATGTAGCAGGCCGGCCAGAAAAGTCAGAAAAAGTAGCCGGCCGGCCACATTTTTCTGGTGGATGATCTTTTTTGCCCATTTAAACTAGCCGGCCATGATCCTTGTCCCAAGTACATTCTAGCCATGTATTTTGTTTTACACTTCACCCATGTCCGAGGGTTTGGCCCTTTTGGGGGGAAACCTGATTCATTTCCCTCCATTTCCCCCCCCCCATTTTTTCCCCTCTTTTTGCCTATATAAACTAGCCTCCAGCTCTGGTTTTAAGGGTTACAAAAAATTGCTTTAGGCTCTTGCATTACATCTTTCTCCCTCTCTACTCCAAGCACCAAAATCCTTCAAACCCTACACCATTTTACACTACACCTCATAGCACCACATCCCCATCTTCCATTCCAGAAGGTTGAAGCTGATTTCCAGAGGTGAAGGACTCCCAAACTTGGCTCAAAGGTTGTTGGAGTATTGGTCTACAAGGGTGAGTCACTCTTTTCCCTTTTCTAGCCTTCTTTTGCATGCTTTCTAAGCCACACTTGCTTTCTGTTTTGGGATCCGACCCTAACTGGAACTAGGCTTATTTTGAGCTATTTTTCATGTTTGTTTAAGGGCCTCTCACTGTTTGAGGCCTCCTTGTTGCACTAGCTTCATTGCCTCCCTTGTATACCATTTTCTTGTGTAGTATTTTTGGCCTATGTATAAATTGTTTTCAGGCATGCCATAAACTGTAAAGTGGCTTATTTTGAGCCCTTATTCAATGTTGTTGAAGGGCTTATCACTGTTTGAGTCTTATATCTTCCACTTGCCTTTATATCCCTTTTTTGGCTCCATTTTTGCATGATTTATGAGCCTCTTTTGCTTCTATTTTTTGACTCTGGCCCGAACTGAAAATGGCATTATTTTGACCCCCTCTTCATGTTTCATTAAGGGTATTTTACTGTTTGAGGCATCCTTTTTGTACTTTGTGTTATAGCTCTCTTTTTGGCCTCGTCTTGCATAGTATTTTGAGAATGCTTGTGCACTGTTTTTGGCTCGGCCACCAACTGAAAAATGCCATGTTTTGGGTCCCTCTTCAACATTGTTGAAGGAACCTCAGATGTTTGGGGCCAGAAGATGTGACTTGCTTCATTACCTCTCTTTCGGGGCCATTTTTGCATGCTAACTTAGCCCCATTTGTGTTCATTGTTTGGCTTTTCTTAAAACTGTAAACATGCTTTTTTTGGGGCTTCCTTAAATCTTTCTTCACATGTCATGATCAAATAATGCATGCTTGATCTAGCTACAAGTCATTTCATATGCTTAATCTTGCATTTCGGGACCATTTCATGCATCGGGTGCGATATTGTCATGATTCGGGACTGTTTTGGGTCATATTTCGCTTCTGAAATTTTCATGTTTGCATATCATATTTCATGCCTTGCCATGTCTTGTTAGAGTGGCATTCGGTGCCTTAGGGTCGGTCCTCGGTTTGCGTGCATGTGTGAACGCATCTCGAGTGTCTCATTTTCATCTCATGGCCTCTTATGTGAGTGTGGCTGAGGTCCACTCATGTTGGTGTAACTCCATTATGCATTGTGTATGCCATTTCATTTCATAGCATTGCGTATGCTAGGTTGTATGTTAGCGCATTGTGTATGCCATGTTACCTCGTGCATCGT